TCTTTTGTTTAATCGATTTAGTTTAGTTTAGTTTAGATTAGATTAGATTAATTTAGTTCAGTTAGTTAGTTAGTTACTTTTTTGTGTCCTTTTTCTCTCTTCTCTTCTTTTTTTTTTCCTTCATCTTCTTCTTTTTTTAAAAGAAAAGATAGATAACGAGGTATTAATAGTGCCGTAATATCGGAGAAATATATATGGATGCATATGTATGTATGTATGTATGTGTGTGTGTGTGTGTGTAGATATATATATATATATATGTGTGTGTTATGTACCTTAAAATCTACGACAGCATTCGATGAGATTTTACTTTCTTTCTTTCTTTGTTTCTTTCTTTTCTTTTTTTTTTTCCTTTCATTATACTTTTTAAAGATTATATAATATAATAAACCATTCAGATAAAACTAACAATTGTGCGAGAGCATTGAGTTTTATAATATTATATTATATCATTTTAGCTAAGTTATGTATAATAAGATTTATGTAGTATGTATGTACGTATTTATGTATGTATGTATGTATGTATGTATGTATTTATGTATGTATGTATGTATGTATTCATATTCGGATGGTCAAAAGTTCCAAGGTAATTATAAAAATCAATTACCACTTTTTGTGACCTTTTTTTAGGCTCATAATTAGGCAAGTAATAAGTATTGAAACATAAAAGTTTTAGCCTCGAAGAAAGATCTCGGATAAGAATAATTGATTTTTAGAATTATCTAGGAACTTTTTAATCATACCATGTATTTATTGTATGTATTTCATCATCACTCTCACGTACTTTCTTATATATTTATTTATTTCTTTTTTTTCTTTATCTTTTCCTTTCCTTTTCATTTTGCAATAGATAATAAATACTTTCATCGTTTCACAAGGTCATCTCAATGATCTAATAACATTTAGTTGTTTTCTCTCTCTCTCTCTCTCTCTCTCTTTCTCTCTTTCTCTTTCTCTCTCTCTTTCTCTTTGTCTTTCTCTCTGTCTGTTTGTTTTGCTTCGCATTTTAGGCGAACTTTTCTTTTGTTTTTGTTTTTGTTTTTTTTCTCCCCTAATAAACATGTGTTTATCTCTTATTAGAATTCTTTAACATAGTCGCCATATCTCTTAATGCTTGTTCGAGGGTCTGAGCGAAACGTAACGAGTTTGTTTGACCGTCACTATGAAAGGCCGAAATTTGGAAGATAAATTTGTTCTTTTGCATGTTGTAACAGCATCCATAACCGTCTGGAACTACTGGACCATATCCAACAAAGGCGTGTGTCTTTGTGGTAACCTGTTGAAAGAAAGAAAGAAAGTAAAAATAAGTAAATAAGAAAAAATAAATAAATAAAGGAGTATTAGTTTATTATATAAATAATTATATATCAAACATATTTAATGATTTGTTTGTAGTAATTTTTTCTTTTTTTTTTTTTTTTAGAAAATTTTCATTAACTTCTTAATGAAAATTTTAATATTATTTAATAATAATAATAATTAATTTAATAATTCAATTAGGATAATAATTTATAAGGAAAGAAACACGAAATGAAAAATTGAAGTGAAAATTGCTTTTGTAAAATTTTAATGGTAGACATTATGCGCGTCGCACCCTCTTCTTCATTCGTTCCTTTAGAATAGAATCAGGCTTACAACGTCACTTCCGACAACTGGAAACTCGAGACGTGGATTGCATCCGGTCTTTCAATAGAGCCGGAAGCCCCTAGCAATTACCTTTGTTACCAAATTGGATCTCCAAAAGTAACGACCCAACTCAATAAAATTCTTCCTTTGTAGGATTTTTTTCAAATTATTTTTATTCAAGTCTATTATACATATTTTATTTTTCCGTATTGAGGATCTTAAAATGTGTAATATTTATTGAGATAATTGTTAAATTTTAAATGATAATATTCATCAAGGTTGCTTTGAGTAATCATAACTAAGGGAATGATCAAATATATCTCATGATTTTTTTTTTATAGATCTTCATAGGAAAGATCGAGATCTTGATTAATATATCCTTGTAATAGCGTTAAATAGTATAATTTATGGATCTCATAGGCGTCTACATTAATTTTTAAAATATTTAACAAAACTCACTTATGCATCTTTAATTATAACAATGTGACAAAGAATTTTTATAGCGATTTAAAAAAAATCAATTATTCTTTTATTGACATTTCTTTTTCTTTCTTTCTTTCTTTTTCTTTTTTTCTTCTTCTTTTTTATTTTTGATTTACAAAACAAACAAGTTTTTAGTTTATAAAAATCTAGTCTAATGTTACAAGCGTAAAAAGTCTCAAAAATGAATCAGTAATTATTTCATTAATATCGCGTATGAACTTTTGACCTATCTTCTATATCATAAAATCATTTAAATTCAAAACTTTTTGACGTATAGTTTATATGTGCAAAGATTAGAAAAAAAAAATAAATAAATAAATAAGAAAATAATTTTTATTATAACATTAATATAATAGATTTATAATTAAAACAATAGTCTTTGTTTGAGATATAATTTGAATGCAGACGCCAATGAAAGACATTTTAGTAGTAGGACGTAGATGGATGATCGATCATGATTATACTGACCTGCGAAGTCGAGAGAGCGAAGTGATTAACGATCTTGTAAGCCTCGTCCGTGAAGATGTCCGGGATCGGTTCTCCGGCCTCCTTCGCAACATAACGTAGCCCCATCATATGGTTGTCGATTCCTCGTCCTGTTATATTATCATTCATTTCCTTAGTTTGTCTTTGTACTGCCAAGTCGAACAATTCCTTGATTCTGTCCGCCTAAAAAGGTATAAACAAATAAACAAACAAACAAACAAAAGAAACAGAAAAAACAAATATTACAATAAGAATTAAACTCAATGTAGAAGTGTATTTAACATAAAAAGAAGAAGAAAAGAAAAAAAGACGAAAGAGAAAAAAAAAAAAAGAAAGAATTATTTATCCCTCGAAAGAATTTTTAAAAGATTATAATACTTCGTGATATAGATAAATTTTTATAGCATAGTATTTTTTTTTCCCGTCAAGGTCAGCTCAAGAACGTAAAATAACGTTTTATGTTAAAAGATAAAAAAGAAAGGGAAAAAAAAAGAAGAAGAAGAAGGAAAAAAAAATATATATATATATATGTATGTGATAATTATCTAGGTCAAGTAAATAATATAAAAATAGTGTACGTTGCATAGACCAATTCTCTATTAATATAGTCGATATTTTTTTGTTGTTGTTATCGTTATTGCTGTACAATATACATAGTATCCAGATAAAAGAGATCGTATGAAGGAACAATGAAATAAATGAGAAACAATAGGCGTTTGCTTGCGCATTCAACGAGGGTGAAGGTTCGATAGGAAAACAAACGGAAAATCCCCTTAAAAGCATCCTGCAAACACTCGATTGGGTACGAAAAGTAAAGGTATAGTAATATATCTAATTGATTTGTCTTTTTCTTTCCTCGCGAAAAAAAATACTCCTTCTTTCGTTTTGTTCAACCCCCACCCCTCCCGCCCCCACCCCTTTATTTACCAATATATTTTTTTTTCTCGATACTATGTAAACATTAATAGATTATCAATGGAAATATTAATGTTAAGAATGATGAAATAATGAATTCATTTAAAAGAAAACAATTGTTTAGAAAAAATGTGTGTCAAGTTTCAGTTACACTGTAAATGGTGAACTGAACTCTTTTAGAGCCTTCGTCTTGAATGTTGTTAAGTTGATTAGTTGATTGACTTTCAGGATCGCCTTGACACATAGCCTTCGCCCAAGCTAAGGCCTCTGGACTTGCTGCTCTTATAACGTCCACTCTTCCAAGTGCAAATCGACGAATACCAGCACTTTCATACGTAGCCACTAATTTTCCATGCAGTCTATAAGATGTACGTCATAGTAACATATTATTATAGATACTTATGAAATAAGGATGAATTAATCGTATAAGTAAAATTACCTGAAATATGTTAATTGTAATGCCAGTTGTATGTAAACGTCCGGACTTATTTTGCATGATTTTACAAATTCCTTCGAATAATCCGAGAAATTTAAAACGCATAAATCTAAATCTTCGACGAGTCTAAACATTTCAAGATTAATGAATGTTATATCTCTCTTTTGTTTTTTTCTTTCGTTTTTTTACCAAAAAAAAAAAGAAAAAAAAAAAGAAAAAAAAAATAAAAAAGATAATACAAAAAAGGGATCGAGTAATTCACTTACGCGTCAAAATTGCTCGAAGCTTCTCTGATATTATTCAAACTGAGTTCTGATAGATTCCATTCGAGTTTCTCCGGTGCTGGAAGATGAGACGGTACTAAATTTTCTTCGATCGGTGCCATGGATTCAATCTTTTTTGTTATATCCTCGATGGCATTTAAAATTGCTGGTGCCTCGCCCGCTGAATGTTCGTAACAGACACCCCATAGACCGTCCTATGAGATAAAAGACAAGAGAATTTTCAATATTAAACAAAATCAACAAAGGTGAATCATTCTGTATTTCTTTTCGCATATTAATCCATATAATGAATAATACAAATACAATAAAGATTATTACTTTGCCGAGTATCAATTGGACAGTTTGATCGAACCAACGATTAGCAGCCAAATGTCGAGATCCACCACCATGAAGAATGTGATGAAGTACATTTGCTAAATCACGTTCACCTATCCATCTATCATTCGTTCTATACGGATTATTGAATGTTGCTGGTAAGACGTCATCATCGATGCAAACGATACATAAACATCTTTCTAATAATTCTATGTTGTGACGATTACGTTCATCTGTAAAAATGTAATTATCGATTTACATGTAAGTATACATTTACATAGGTATATGTATAATAATTATCTTTAACCATTTCAACATTTAACATAATGCATCTCTCTCTATCTCTCTCTCTCTTTTTCTTTCAATAGGAGATAACCATCCCTTGGTTCTATCGCACGTGACAAAGGGAGAGCTTCCTTTTACTCCATTTATCTATCCTAACTCTCTCTCTCTCTCTGTGTCGACCGTCTTTATATCATTATCTCTCATCACTTACTCAATTTATAAGGATGCCTTGTAAATTTTACTCTGGATATAAACTCGAGTAAAGGGTTGTTATGAGAATATTGCGAATATTGATATATAAACGATCAAATGATAACTATAATTATCTAACCGTCAAATATATATATATATAAATTAATTAGATACAGATAATTGATGATAGTTAATTAATTAGAAATTACTTTACTACTGTAATAACGTTTATGGAGTTTATTATTTAAACGATTGAAAAATTGTGATAATTCTTAATAAATATTATTAGTTCGCTTGCACACTTATAAATATATAATTAAAATATAAATAATTTATATATATATATATATTTAAAATAAATTATTAACCCCTTGACATACAAATAAAATGCGCTTAGACGCGTCCGCAGTTTACTATTTAATTACCATTTTTTTTTTAATTATCCATTTTTTTTTTTTTTTTATGAATATCAATTGTCTAGGAACAAGTTATATCCTTTCTCTAAAATGGGTTCGGCTAGTTGAATGACAACACTCTCCGAAATAGGTTCATTACTTCCTTGAATTACGTCTTGTTCTGTGTATATTTTAAATCGATAGCAATACCCAGAATTGGATTCGCATAATTTATAAAATTTGATTCCAAATCTCATTCGTTTGGATGCTATATATTGGACATAATTTAGTTGCCAAAGACAGTTCTTGACGTCTCGGAGACGACAAAACAATGGCACATGAAATGAATGACGTCTCAGAGACGTCATTGTATGTCAAGTGATTAACATTAGGGTACATACTTTTCATCAATTCTTCTCTTGCTTTTGCCCAGACAGGTCTTTTGGCAGTTGTTAGGATACCAATAGGAGGTGTTACAGGATTAGCCTTTGTTTCCATGATTTTTAAAATCTGTTGTATCAATTCGCTTTCAGTGATTCGTCCTCGATCCGACGCTCTAACAGGAACACTATAAAACTACAAAGAATAGCCTTGAAGTCATTAGTTTTTCTCTCTCACTCTCTCCCTCTCTCTCTCTCTCTCTCTCTCTCTCTCGTTTTCTTTCTCTATTGTATAACGAAATAATAATCAGGATTGTTGTAATACCTGATTATGATGTACAACTATAATATGATCACCGGAAGTAGCTCTGTCAAAAATGATTTGTTCATCAATGTTGATACCAGGTCGTCGATATATTCGAAACATTTGATAGTGCTGAGCCATACATAAAGGTTGCATTGTCTTTCCGTCCTTCGATTTAACCCGTTCGATTTCTAATTCGGATCTATAAAAGAAGAATAGAAGTAGTATTAAATTATAAAGATTTCTTGAAAGTAAACATCTCAGTCTCATTTTTTTTCTTTTCCTTTATTTTTTTTTTTCTTTTTTTCTTCATCTAAAGTTTCTTCTTAGGCGAAGAAATCAAAAAAAAAAAAAAAAGAGGAGATAAGAACAAACAAAAAAAAAAAAAAAAGAAAAGAAAAGAAAAGAAAAGAATAAAAAGCAAAAAGGAGGAGTTCATTTTTAGTAAGGCAAAATGAAAAGGGCTGTGATCCCTTTCTACACTATCTCTGTCTATCCTCTTTATGCTCGGTATTCTATGGATCTTAGAAACCGGATTTCCTTTCTAGAAAGTAAGAGAGACAGAAAGAGAGAGAGAGAGAGAAAGAGAAAGAGCGAAAAAGACAGAGAGAAAGACGTGCCTTCTCTCTAAATTGATTTCAGTGTGGCTTCTTTTTGTCCTGAATGAAATCAGTAGTTCGAACGATTCCTCGAAGGCATTCATCCTTTACATGGTTCTTCCTTCGCTTTCTTGCTTCTTCAAGATTCGAGTGGGCGACGACTTAGCTTAGCTTAGCTTAGCTCAGCTCAGTTCAGTTCAGTTCAGTTCAACTTCCCTTTCCACAAAGGATATAAAGTAGTAACTTCCAGGTACTTGTATCCGAAAGGACGTGTTCTCGCATCGGTGAAATTGAAACGTTCATTCTGAAGACGTCACATCTTCAGGACGAACGTTTCTTGATCGTTACGATAAAGGAGAATTTTACAAAAGGAAATTTGCTTGGAGAAAAGAAAGAGGGAGAGGGAAGAAGAAAGAGAGAAAGAAAAATGAAAAAGAAAAAAAAAGAGGAAGAAGAAGAAGAAGAAGAAGAAGAAGAAACGATTTTTCTTTTCTAATTGGATTGATCGTCTTTGTTTTTTTACCTGTCCAGCAGTTCCTGATAATTAAGGAGTTCCATTATAAATCTTCCAAGAAATATTGCTGCATCCTGCTGATTAATAAATTGTTTTCCCTCTAATACTATGCCGGGATTACTATTGATCGGTAATGCCAAAGGTACAGATAGATACATGTCGTACAACCACCAATCGGTAGCCTGAAAACAGAGACACCGTGTTACATTAATTCATTGATTATAATTCATGTTTATTTAGAAATGACGTTAATTATTTTTTATCTTTATTATTATTATTATTGTTATTATAATTAATTTTCTTTCTTTGTTTTTTTTTCCTTTTTTTCTTTTTTTTTTTTTTTTTTTAATTCATTCTTAACGCGACGATGCGACAGGATATTTTCAATGGCTTTTCGCACAGAAGGGAATTAGGGAATTAAAGGGCCATGCAATTTTGTCGTTTAATCCGTATTTAATGGACTCGTCGGACGCTTCGCGCGATCATCCTCGATGTTTTTGTATGAAAAGAAATTTTTTATGTAAAAGTAATATGCATACTTTTTCTTCTTCTTTTTTTTTCCCTTGTCGGATTAAGAATTTATTGAAAGTTTTTTCTTTTTTTCTCTTTTCTTTTCTTTTCCTTATAAATTGCTTGACATCTGACAGAAAGAGAATCATAAAATAATTAACGTCATAGGGATGAAATTTTACTTGAAAGTTTAATTCTTTTATTATTATTATTATTATTATTATTATTATTATTATTATTATCTATTATCTATTATCTATTATTTAATAATGAATGAAAATTATGAATATTAATTTTCTACTCTATGGCAAATGGACGAATAAATTTATGACAATTTATCGCATTTCAAATTACATATATATATATATCTGTATGTGTGTGTGTGTGTGTGTTTTAGAATAAAATTATATCTATAATAATATTTAAATAATTATTTAAATTATTATTGTTTAATGCCTATAGGAAGTAACAGATTTGGTCGGTAACATGCGAGTCGAAGGAAACTGTATTTATTTTTAGTGTAAGTTCGTGGAAAAAAAAGAAACAATTTCCTCTTTGGAATCCGCGTATAGACTTCCGCAGTAACGCGGACGTTTTATAATTGTAATAACTCGTGTACGGTATGCACGTGTTAGAGTCAGCTTTTTTTTCCATACTATTCTGGGTCACATCGCAAGCGAACTCTCGACGTTTCTATACAAGTTTCACGAAGTCGTCTGCATGTCGATATAACGGATTAGGTTTGCTTTCAAATGGTCTATAGATAGCAACCAGGAGCTCGATCGAAAGCGTTCTTGAAAGCCATTTCCTCGTATATACGTAATATTATCGCGATAAGTCTTTACGCGATATGAATTTTCTTTCTTAACCATTTACTATGATCCTTTTTGGCCTTTGATACTTTTTGAATATCGCTCATATTTGAATCATTTTTAATTTCAATGTATTTGTATTAATTAAAAAGCTTAATCCAATCGAATATTTATTTATTTTTATCTATTAACAAATTCGTTTATTTATAATTTTTCTACTCTTTTTTTTTCTTTTTTTATTTTTTTTTATTTTTTTTTTTTGAGGTTATAATATTTCGACCGATACAAAATTAATATAAAATTCATTAAGGTTACCGTTGTTCGATGATTCATAAATTGATGAATAATTAAGCAACGTTATATTGTTCTTTCTTTACTTAATTAAGTCGATCAATTAAAGAGTTTTATTTTGTCTATAGATTATGATAGACACATTATTATGTACCTTCAAATATTGAACTTTTAATAGTATTAGTGAAGAAAAAAAAAAAGACATTCATGGCGCGAAATCGTACCAATCGCATGCGGTTAAAATATTAAATATTAAAGATTTAACGTTAATTCCATTGTTTTTGAAAATTTTGAAAAAATGTGAGAGATAAGAAGAAGGACAAATGAAATTCGAACGAACGAACGAAATGAAAACTTGTTATAATTGAAAAAAAGAAGAATTCATAGAAGAGATAAATTCTAATTCATTGGATATAGAATAAAATATTTGTTGAATTTTGATTATTATTCTTTTATTTTAATTAATAAGATTTTATTTTTATTAAGTTGATTAAATTATTCAGATAATTAAAAGAATTTTGACGTTCGTATTTCGCGGGGGTACGATATTCTTTTGTTTCTAAAAGCTTTGATTTTTTTTTTTAAGTTGTGGCGACTTTGTCCTTTGTATAGTACAATATTCCTTTATATAATTACGCAGTAAAACTCAAGCAGTTAGGATTTATTTGATACGATCTAATTATTTACATTCAATAGACGATTATTATAATTGAATAAGCATAATTTAACGTGCGTGCATATGTGTGTGTGCGTGTGTGTGTGCGTGTCTCTACGTAAGTTATTTTATTAATTAATTTATTTAATTATTTTGTAACATTTAATTTTTATCATTCGATAGGTAATAATTCGATAAATGAATGAAGTTATTTAAGTACAATAATTTACTTCCTCTCAAAATAATTTTTACTGCGTATAATCAATTTGGACAGTGTTGCCAATAAAAACAAAAATAGAAGTGATGAGAAAGTTCAAGTGATTTGATCAACGTAGTACTTATTTCTTTTCGGTTGATCGGCCGCTGTCGTTTTATGAATTTTTCATCGTTTTATATCGGCGGTGCTGCAGTTTAATCATTTTCCAGAAGCAACGAAGAATATCGAATAGCGATCAAAATGATGAACGCACGAAGGAGAAGTTATGAAAGTAGATTATCGGTATGACTGAAATGTCGCAGTAAGTATTTTAATCGAGGTTAACAATTTTCTTTTCTTCTCTCTCTCTCTCTCTTTTTAAGAGCTTTTCATTTTTAATGATTTTCTTATTTCCAAGAAATATACAATTTTATTGCGTTGAATAATGCGATCGATAAATTTTATTAAGGTTAGCATAAGTTTTATTTTATTTTTGATAAAATGTTAGGACAAGAATTATAATTTAATAAATTTTCGTTACGAAAAATGTTTCGAGTGTTTAACGGAGAAAAAAAAAAGAAAAAAAAAGAAAAAAAATTGTGCGGGGGTTAAAGAAAGATCTCTCGTCGTTTCACTTTTTTTTTTTCTTTCTTTTTTCTTTTTCCCCCGTCAACGTCGAATGCATCGCCGCCATGTTTATGCAAAATCCAAATTACGCAAATAACGTGTGAGCTGTTGCACGCTTGTTGCGCTTTAAACGCAATGAGAAACGCAAATCGCGTTCGCGAAATAACGACGGACGCCGCGCGTTATATAGTTCGGCAACAACGACGACGACGATTACGACGATGACGATGACGATGACGATGACGACGTCGACGAAAACAGAGAAGAAGAAAATGTAACAAGATCGGTCAATATTTTTCCATCCGACTCGACGCAATCTTATTCAAGATATACGAAAGACGCGTATTTAACGACGGCAAATCTTTCGTCCATATTTTTTAACCACTGTTTCTAAATTGCATCATGCGAAAAGTGCACGTGCATCTACACTTCGCAACCACAGCAGACGAGATCTGCACCTAACTCCTTTACGAGAGCTCATCTGTATCTTGGTCGTGTACGCGTATGAAATTGCTCAGATCAAAAAGATATGTATGTCTCTACCTACGTTAAATACGTACGTAGTACCAGCCGAACAAATACGATAATCATCGTTTCGCACGCATAACTGCAATAAAATCGTTTTTTCTTTATCTTTCGTTCGTTCTTTCTTTCTTTCTTTCTTTCTTTTTTTTCGCCCATTTATTTCTAACTTTCGTCATATACGTACAACAAAGATCTCTTTGTTAACGTTTTGAAGGCGAGATCGATCGTTTGAAAAATCGCGCTAAATCTTGAGAACAGATTCCTACATTACCAACTTGGTGTTTTCTAATTTGTTTACTCTCTCTCTCTCTCTCTCTCTCTCTTTCTTTTTTTTTCTTTTTAATTTTTAATTTTTAATTTTTAATTTTTAATTTTTACATTTCAATTTGGTTATCGTTAATATTATTAATATTATTATTATTTATGTATTTTCAAAGGATTATGAGAACATACACGTAAGAAACATAATATATTTTTTCTTATGTGGTATAATAAGATTATGTGAATACTTCTGGGTCAAGGATAACGGTTTCTCTTTATATTTGACCAAAAAAAGAAAAAGAAAAAAAAAAGAACAGAAAGAAAGAAAAAGAAGAAGAAGAAGAAAGAAAGGAAGGAAGGAAGGAGAAAGAAAAGAAAAAAGAAAGGGAAAAGAAGAGATTGATCGTATCAAAAATTACATAGCGTACGAGAAACTTGCTCGGTGAAACGGTGTGTTGCGCACGCGACTATTCACGGTGGGAGTTCGAAACCATTTTCGAACGTCAGCCTGTCAGGCGGATTGGTTTAAGCTTTCGGAATCCATTAAGCAAGATGATTGCATGCTAAACCATAAAGTCTATTTCTCATGTGTGATGGAATATCGATGATAATCAATGAAAATTTATAGTCTTTCAAGTTTTACGGGAGTTTTTATGGGAGAACTAAACAACATACACACACACACATACACACGCATATGCATGCATACACACAAACACACACATACACTCATATATATATATATATATATATATATATATATATATATATATATGTGAGATGTATAATTTTATTTATTTATATTTATTTTATTATCATTTCAAGATATAGATCTTAGACAAAAAGATGTTAAAAATAATGTAGATAATTATATGTAGATTGAAATGAACTATACTAAAGCAACGGCAGTAACTATAGAATAAGTTACACATAATAAGTTACTTCGTGGGAGATGATAGAGTATCAATAAATTACTTGGCGTGCTGATCTATCCTCCTGTAGCTATTGCAAAACCTATGAGCGTTTGGTTTTCCTCAGATTTAATGAGCTTGCTATTGCCTCGTGCAACACTGATGCATCATTATTAGACAAATCTCGAATGTGGTATATACATTACTTGAATTATTTTCAAAGTATATATCATCTCTTTATACATATATATGTTTATATATATATATATATATATATATATATATATATATATTTATTTATACAGAATGGATCAAAAGTTCCTAGGTAATTTTAAAGATCAATTATTATTTTTTGAAATCTTTTTATTTTATTAATTTATTTATTTATTCATTTTTGACGTTGTAAAATTACTGGCTTAACATTTGTAAAACAGCAGGCTTAATTATAAGTATAACAAGTCTTAAATAAGAATAATTAATTTTTTCAAATCATCAGAGAACTTTTGAACCATCCTGTAGATATGAATTAGATAGATCTATATAATAGGTGTTATAGATCTTAAGAAAAAAGTTAAGTGTGATTATTTCAAAAACGTTTTATTTTAATGATCTTAATCGATTCGATTAGTTACGATTTATGTAATTTCTTTTTTTTTTTTATTTTTTTATTTTTTTTTTTTTTTTTTTTATTTTTTTCGTTTTGTTTTTCTTTTTCTCTTTTTTCTGTCCTTTATCTCGCGGCTAAAACAATTTAATTCTTTCGTCAATCGTTTGAATCTCTTAACGATCTCATCAGTGAAACAGGTCAAAGCATTTTACTTTTAGCCTGTTCAGAGTTCGGTAATAATGTATATGCTACTCTCTTAAGTGACGGCATTTTAACGATCTAACTTGAAATTACCGAAAGATTCGTCTCTCCTCTCCACTGATCTCGCCGTGTTCTTCTTAGGAAATCCATGATGCAATAATATGCACATCTAAATGCGTTCGTTCAACCGGTTAAATGATTGAATTCACGTGTCGAAAGCGTCATTTAGGAAATAGTAGAATCATATTAATCAGAGCAAATGTGAATAATTGTTCTTTCTTTCTTTTCTTTTGTTTTTTTTCTTTTCCTTTTTTTTTTCTTTTTTTTTTTTCTATTATCGAAATTAACGAGGATTACATAAATGGTATTCTCAAATTAATCAATACATTTATCATATTTGTTAGATCTCAAATATTTTCACCTTTCTAATTATTCCTTATTTTATTTTTCAAATTATTAAAAATAATTTACAAGAGTATTCAATGTATCAAATTTTTATTTGTCAAAATGAATTAATACATTTTTATTGATATCTCATAAAATCAAATATATATAGAAAATAATAATATAATATAATATAATAAGAGATATAAATAAATATTATAGGATAAGTTCATTTTTAATATGGAGATAATCAAAATTGAATTTAGACATTTCTAAAGTAATCCTGTAAATCGTTTCAAGTTGTTGTAGTTTCGAGATAATTGAACAATTAGTAAGAACGAAGGCATCGAGTAGATGAGGGCTCGTGAACGAGAGACATCAACTAAGCCAGTTCGAAGTTTGCTTGGTGTCACGTTACGGAGATTTCAACAGAAGCCTGAACACGATGCCGTTGCAAGTTTCCATCGACTACATTCTCTTTCTCTTTCTCTCTCTCTCTCTTTTTCTCTTTCTCTGTCTTCCTCTCTCCCTCTTTGTCTGTCTATTTCTGTCTGTATTCATCTTGACTGGGTAGTCCTCCCTCGACATTATCTATCCTTTTCTCTCATCCTCAGTATTCCTCTCTTTATCCCTCCTTCCCTCTCTCTATCCGTCTCTCTATCCTTCTCTATCTTTCTCTTCTCTCTCCCTCCGTCAGGCGCAAACTCGACCTTATCGACCACCCCAGCAAGCTCTCTGGCAACCAGCAACGTTTGTATATCTTTCACTCGTTCCATGTATTTCGTCATTGTTCGAATACACGCGGCAAAAGGTGCCGGGAGGGCGACAGGAGAGTGTGGATCTGACAGGGGCTGCAGTATCCATCGGTTAGAACTCTCCATTGACCCTCTATGACCTAACTTGCTTTCTCTCTCTTTTTCTCTTTCTCATTCTCTCTTTTCATCTTCACTACTGGCTAATGAAGTATCGTTGAAGGAAACTCGACACCCATCGTAGCTTTGTAGGGAGACAAAAATTATTTATTTATTTATTTATTTATTTATTTATTTATTATTTCTTTTTTAATATGACTATCAATAGATCAATCAATCGATATGAAATATTTTCCTTTCTTTATGAAAAAGAACTTATATATAAAGGTTGGTCCCTTTTAAATAAGACCATCTAAATATTTCGTCGTCTTATTGTGATGCATATTTTTTTTTACATAATGCATATGGTGTCAGAGAACCAATAGGATCAATTCTGGCAAGAGTATTATTTTCTCGATAGACATTAATAAAACAGATCGCAAACTTTGACTAAGATTTGCAATTAAGAGCCGTTCTATTCGGTCATTATCGTCGATCCTATTCAATGATCGTCATTGTCATTGTTATCATCGGTCCTATTCGAACGTCATCATCATCATCATCATTGTCGTCGTCGTCGTCGTCGTTGTCGTCTCATTAAGTGGATCCTTGTCATTATTCTCGTTCTCGTCATCTTTAAGTTTTCTATTTAATTAATTTAGAGATTCAAATTATTCAGGGCTATCCTTTGTCTTCTTATTTTTTTTTTTTTTTTTTTTTTTTTATTAGATACATTAATTTGTCCTCTCGCATGTTGTATTCTGTTCTTCATGTAATTATAATGAGTTAGCAAGGTGTTCGGACTTTGGTCACAATCCCTTTGGGGATTGCTTACAAAAGGCGATCGATCAATTTCTGATGGGCCAAGTAACAGTCCAACACGGATTGCGGAGAGCTCGACGAGGAGATTTCGACGGCGTTATAGAGATAACAGGGATATATTCGTTGATCCATG